ATTTGCAGCTGTGTATCTTCAGGTTTGAGATCTAGCTAACCACATTTTTCCATCCATCTCCCTTTCACTCCTTTCTTGAAAGCTGTTAAGCATCACAAATTTGTAATGATATTCTTGGTCTCACCTTTGACTTTTAGCTTAGATATTGGGTCTAGATGAGAGAGGCACCTAAAGATATTTTGTTTTTCTTTTTGGACAAGATCAAAGATGCAGCTTTTTCTAACCACCCACGTGTGAAACCTTGCAAGATAAGGGAGGTCTGACCTGAAACTCAATTACATTTGACTTTTGGGTGCAATTTTCCCCTCTTCAGAATGACTGAGAACATCTCCAGGAAATTACTGTCTCATTTAGACACTACCCTCCTCTACATTGCTGCTCTAAGGTTCTCCATTTCCCCATCAGTCCAGACTGCATGGAGTGGAGGGGAGGAGGATGGTGTCAAGTGTAAAACAAGTTTGGTTAACGCTTTATATTTGTTCACATTTTTACACACCTTCTCCCAGGTTTTCTGTTTTGAGTAGGACAAACTACCAATACACATCAACAATGCTTTCTTATTTTTTCTCAAAACTCAGTGGCACTAACAATAAAAATCTGACTATTAATTGGGGATTGGTATTTTGAGAATACCAGTTGTAATGCTGACAAACACCTTCTTCCTTCGCTATGTATTTTAAACTTAATTTACAAGTCTGGAGCCTCTGCATTCTAAAAGCACCTGTCGTAACAGAATCTTAGCATGTAACTAAGGTTTCTATGTATTTTTATAAAAGCAAAATACAAAGAATAACCCAGGACGTTGTCCCACAATTCTTATTGCCAGAGTTTGGTAATTTAGACTTGGGATTAGCTAGTTTGTTAAAAGTGAGGACAGTGTCTTGTGCTCACTGGATCTCATTCTATTTAATTTAAAAGAACTAGGCAATTTCCCCTCCCTCAGCACATAATGCAGATCATGGCTGAGGAGGATCTAAAGTAATGCTACAGCTGCTTAGCTCTTCCCTTGCACTAAGTTCTGCATTCATTTCTGCTCTAGTCTGTATTTCTATTTTATAATGAAACATACAGCCTGTTATTTATAGGCTTTCTAAGGATTAACTACACACTCATAAGAATAAACCCTCAAGAGGTTAACCTCATCCTCTTAAGCTTCACACACTACAATCCCAGAGATAGCTGGCAACCACAGCCAAGAGAGAAAAAATAATCCCACATCTTGCTAATCCTTTAGCCAATCACCTCACGCAACAGTGGAGAGGCCTCTCAGAGACCTACAACTCAATCTGTCTCAAGAGTACTGTCAATCCAAAAGATACATATTTCACAGAACTATTAGCAACCCACCTCAAAAGGCAAAATAAGACATACCTGGCTGCTCACTGGTACAATGAAGTCGTGCATCTAAAATGTAATGCTAAAAAAGATTCTAGTTTACTGATTATATTTCCCACATATATTTGCATATTCTACTTCTAAAAACTACCTATTTGTTAATTTGAAAGTAAATCTCTAAGAAATTTTGCAATGTTTACATCTAGATAGACCAATGCTACTGTCCTTTATAGTTCCTAAAATGAACTTTAAGTACCTTTGATTTTCCAGCCAGATCATATCTTTCTCAAAAAAAAAAAAAACCACCACAGAAAACACCAACACCTTCAAGTTAAACCATGATAATCTAATTCTTTCGTACCATGATCTGGATTCTTTATTAACCCCAAGCACCCATGGCTGCAAGCAGTGCCAAGGAGTTTACGGGTACACTTACCTTTTAAATCAAAGGTTTCTGTTTTATTATCTACCTAGCAAAATTGCTGCTTCATTCAGCTTTAATATAACAAATATTAAATGGTGCCATTTAAAAAAAATGGCAAGGAGGTTGTTTAGCCACACTGCTACCCTGTGGCTGGAAGTTAAAGCCTTCAAGAACATGCAGGAAAAGTGTAAGACCAGAGGTATGACCGTTAATAACAAAATATCATCCACAAGTAAGAATGTTTAATGAACAGAGAGGATTAGCATTGCTTACAAGCTCACTGAGTCCAGCTATATTACTTTTTTTTAAAAAAAGGTGTCAATTCATTCATTCTCTTTTTGTACATCCTTAATACACACAAATTTCAAAGCCTGGCTTTTGACTTCATAGGTAATTCTCTGAAAAATCTGTCCCATGATACTACAAATCGCTATGCTCACAGTCTCTCCTATAATAGGCTTCCACCTTTTCAACTGGAAATAAAAAAAAACCAAACCCACAAAATATAGTTCAAGATCATCTTGTATTTCAAAAAGTTGTTCCCTCTAATTAATGGCTTAAGTTCCCTTCCAGAATTCACGTAAGGCCCAGCCGCAACAGGAATTGCTCTAACTCAGGCAAGCCAACTGGGAAACTCTTGAATCATCCAGCATCAACAAACAATGGCCCGTAAAGAGGAAAAGGAAGAAGGGGAAAAAAGTCAAGCCCCAACAAAAATGCAGATTTCATCTAATCAAGAGAAACTACACAAGTGAGCATCAGCTAGGAAAAGTAAACTTTCCCTCTATCGTCAGAATTTATTGTACGTAAGTATCCCTGGTAGTATGATTGCCAGAGGCTACTCGATTGCATCTTCTACTGTTGCAGACTGCTTCAGCCTAATTGCATTCTGAAAATTGGGTTTCATGATCTTTCATGCTCATAATAGACGTCTAAACTGTTAAATTACTATTTCTTTTCTTATCTTGAAAGACATTGCACTTTAACAGTATGGCCCTTCCATTGTTCTTTACACTAAGTCAGGTCCCTGAACAATACTGACAGCTGCTATCAAACTGGGCTGTGCTCACTCTCAGTGCAGCTGCCGCTTGTAGGAACAGACAGGCTTCTGATGTGTCCTCCCCTCTGGGGAGAGGGCTTGACATGCTGCGTGCTCAGTGAGGGGTAGCAAAGGTCCACTGAATTGTCAACCCAATTTTATGCTATTCAGGTTTTCCAGGATGCACACCGTCCCTTTCAAACACAATCAAGCATATGTCAGAGCAAGAAACTTACTGTGCGGCACAAGATAATTATTGATCACATAAGACTGTAAAAGATCACTATGACATACATCTAATTTCAGCATTATGTATATGCATGCATCTACACGGTCAAAGAAATTTTGTGCCCAACATGTTCATTTCTTCATTCACAGTTTTGGATTTGTATGGCATCATTCAGAAGTCTTTCAGAAGACACAAGAAAGTATCTCTTCTGATGAATCTTAGGTATTTTTAAAAAGAAAGAAGGTGGAGGTTTCTATTCTTGCTTCCAAAGAGCTTCTCCCAGCCACAAAAAAAGTTCTTAATTGTATGTGGTACTTGTATATATATTGCTTTTAAAAGACTATATGGTCTAGACTTTAAAAAAGAGGTACATAACATGCTT